AAAGACAGGGGGGCCCCGGGCTTTTCTCCCCCTGCTAACCCATCCACTCCAGTTCAGCACTAGATACTGGGTCAAAAAGCTCCCATTTCAGTTACCTGTAAGAGATTATTCTAAAGTATCAGTTATGATCCTTCTTGTAAAGGCTCAGTATAAACAAACCTGTGGAAGGCCAGGCACAACCACTGCCACCTGATCCCATCTTAGTCTGGAAAAGCACAATAATTACAGATTAGTTAATGACTTCATTTGCTTTCTGAACAAATAACTTGTTTTGCACTGAGAGGAACTGACTTGCTAGAGTGTCTGACTGATGGATCTGCTTCTGCTACAATATTTAATTGTAATACACCAGAAACTGTAGTGTGCCCATAACTGTTTCCTTGTGCTGGGATAAACAGCTATTTAATCACATCACTGATAATACAGGAATAGGCTTCAGGCTGAGAGTCATACCAAGTTTGTAACTATCAAAATATTTATTAGAAACTATAAAAATTTAAATAATAGCTATACATTATATACACACAGCTACAATTTTAGAAAAGAAGGTTTCCATAGTTGACAAAGTTCAAGGGAAAGTTAAAACTACATCAACACTGAAGTTTCCTTGAAATCCAGACTTCATTCTCTACACTTGAGTTGCTACATCACTTCATTCAAAGGCAACCACAGGACTTCACACACTGGAGTTTGGGCACCTCCTTCAAATAAATAACTTATAAATACAAAAACTTCCAATGGGCAGCAGAGTTTGACTCCTTTCCTCCTTGTTCCTAAAAAACTTGGGAGCATTTCTAGTGCAAATGACTGTTATTTTACCTCTTCTCTTTCCAAGTAACACACACAAAAGCTGTCCTTACTCAGAAGCACCATGGAGTCTCCACTAGAATGCCAGGAGAGAGACACGATCTGGAAGTCCCCTGCAGAATCACAGAATGATTGAGGCTGGAAGAGACCTGAGATCATCAAGTCCAACCTATGACCTCACACCATGTCACTAGGTGACACTAGACCATGGCACTAAGTGCCACATCCAGCCTTCTCCTTAAACACCCCCAGGGATGGTGACTCCACCACTTTCTTGGGCAGTCCATCCCAACGTCTGATCACTCTTTAAAAAAAGGAAGTGTTTCCAACCTAAACCTCCTCTGAAGCAGCTTCAGGCCCAGCCCTCTGGTCCTGTCACTGGTTGCCTGGAAGAAGAGCCTGACCCAAGGTCTCCCCTGAGTCTCCTCCAGGCTAAACAAGCCCAGCTCCCTCAGCCTCTCCCTGTAAGACTTTCCCTCCAGTCCCTTCACCAGGCTCATTGTCTCCTGTACCTCAAGATCCTTCTTGAAGTGAGTGGCCCAGAACTGCACCCAGGACTCAAGGTGAGGCCTCCCCAGTGCTGAGTACAGGGGAGAATCACATCCCTTCTCCTGCTGGCCACACCATTCCTGATACAAGCCAGGATGCCATGGGCCTTCAGGGCCACCTGGGCACACTGCTGGCTCACGTTCAACCTCTTGTCAAGCACTGCTCCCAGGTCCCTCTCCAGCCCCTCCTTCCCCAGCCTGTAGCAAGACAGAGCAGAGCTCATCAGCAAGGAGCTGTCAGCCCATCCTCCTCCCCCAGCTCCCAGAACACACTGGAGCCATTTACAAGATGATGCCCAGACTGAGCAGTATCTTTACAAGATAAATTTACTTTGTGAAGAAGAGGCTGGTGATGGCTGGTGAGTCCCTGCAGGCAGCCTTACCTTCCACAGGAACCTGGACAGACACACAGCCAGCTGGGGACCACAGGTAGACTTTGCTGTTCCCTGTACACAGAGCAAGGCGAGGCTGCCGTGGATCCCACTGGAAGGACTGGATGGGACACAGCTGCTCCAGGACTACAAACAGTTTCAGCTTCTGGATGTCCCAGATCCAGACAGCATTAGGAATGTTATCTGTCAGACAAGGAAGAGGCAATGTTAGTGCCTGGAAGAAACACAGATCACACTTCATTGTAAAGAAATGGGCATGAATGGAGGTATAACATGACACAGACCACTTGGGACCACCACAGGTTTCACATCACCAGCATTTTCCCTAGCAGGGCCTTCTATTTTGCCTTGGAAAAATTGCAAAAAGGATAAAAGTGACTTCCAGTCCTCCACTGGCTTTTTCAAATTATTCACAGCTATGCTGCTGTTGATGATTTTGCCTCTGAACCACAGATTCTGCAGCCACACATAAACAGCCTTCAGAACCATCAAAGGATTAAATGCTAATTCCATGACTTGCACCCTGAAGTAACCAAAAGGCCCCCCCTTACTAGAGGTTATAAAGAATTCTGCCTTTCAAGAGACACTTGCTGTAAATGGATTTGTGTATTTCATTTTCTAATACAGATATTTAAAGAAATACAAAAAAGCAGACTGCTTCCATTAAATACAAAGCCAAGACTGAGTCGATGAGCAGATCTGGCAGCTCCCCACACATCTGAATTTCCCCTGTAGTTACATGTTTGCACAACAGAGCTGATTTTAAACAGGGCCATGAGTCTTGGCATAGTGCAAAATAACTCCCCAATTAGTGTCCTAATTTCTTTGAGGAAAACACCACACACAATGAGTAGGTTTCTCCTTTAATGCAGAGCAGTAGCAACTTACCATTTCTGGTTGCCAGAAAACAGTTATCTGGACTGAATGCCAACATCCCAATTCCCATTTTGGGATTTGCCCTGTCAGCAACAGGTTTCACATACTGTAGAGAAACTGGCACCTGGGAAATGTCATCTAGAATTTGAAATAAAAGTACTTTACTAAGCAAGACTGGATGGACAAAATATCTAAATACCAACTATTAAAACCCCATCATCATCTCTGAAGTGATAGGATCATATTTTACTCTTCTTCAAGATGTTCCAATCAAAACCTCCAATTGTTTTAAGATAACAGCTTACTATTCTTGCCCTTCTCCAAAAAAAGAAAGGCTGGGAATTCAGGCAAGTCTCAGAAAGGGAAGATCATATTTTGCACTACCTTTTAACTAGTATTTCAAGCAAATACCAAGGCAAAGGTGATTTGCAGCAGCACAAACAATGAGACAGTGAAGGAAAAAAAATTCTGATCACACATTGCCTGCCACCTCTTTGATATTTCAAAGTCTGTTGTCTGCAGGCAAGTTTAAATCATTCCTTTGGCTGCAGCTTCTTAGACAAAAGGCCTTTTTCATGCTTTGCTTTCTTACATAACCTCATATCTAAAATTTCATTACTATCCTAAAACAGGCAGCAACACTGTAACACCCTCTGATTGTTTATTGGAACTGCCACCCTCTAGAAGATTAATTGCTAGAATCAGTTGAACTATTGCAATTATCTGCAACAAGTAGAACCAAGTCATGTAATAACACTACAAAGATGGAACAAAATCAGAAAAAAATCCATATGATGTTAAGACAACTTTTACAAGCACCTCCAAGCTTGAGCTCTGGCTGCTATTTCTACAGCCAAGCAATCAGTCCTTCTCTGCAATATCCCAGTAGCCTTTAACCTGCCTGCAAACCACCAGGCAGACTGCACCTCTCACAGGGTGCTCCCATGGGAGCCCTGAGCAGAGCACCCAGAGTATCCACTGCAATACCAGGAGGCAGAGTTCACCTCATGTCTAGTTACAGAAAGGCTTCACATGGCAAACTGAAGTGTCTCATCTTAGTAAACTTTGGCTTACATTTACTTTGTGTGCTGAAGAGAGAACTAGCCAGTTTTCTGGTTGGAGGGAAA